GCTGCTGCATTTTCAGGGGCAGGGGCAGGAGCACAGCAATGACATGAGCAGCTGCTGGCAGTGGCACAGGGACTGCCCCAGCAGCAGTGCCAGCTGTGTCCAGGAGTGGGCATTGCTCCAGGGGTTCAGCCCAGTCCCCATCCACCTGCTTCTTAGTGCAAGAGATAGCAGGGCAGGTGGATGCAGGTGGGTCAGGAAGCCCACCAAGTTGCGGCTACCAGTGGAGTGTCCATCCTGCAGTCACTCTGTGTGTCACTTGTGACTGGTGTGTGTCACCTCTGCTTGGTGTGTGTCACCCGTGGCTGGTGTGTACAGCATCCAGCCTGGCATTGCTACTGCAGCTGCTGGCAGTCACTACCGCTGACTCACTTCAGGAGCCACATCCCTGGGTGTGGGGCAGTGCAGGTGAGGTGCTGAGGGGGTACCTCAGCAACCCCTGCTCCTGCCTGCTGCGGAACAGCAGCACTGCCTCTGCCCAGGGAGGCTCTGGACAGGGGGAAGTGAGACCTCGAGGACTGAGGTCTGATGGGGGCATCATGCCAGCCTGCCTGCCTGATGCCTGCCCGCCAGCCTGCCCTGGGCCTGCTCCAGAGTCCTCCTTCAGAGCCAGGAGCACTTTACAGAGCTGGGAGGGAGCCACGGCCAGTGCCAGCTGGCAGTGGAAGTACTGGGAGGGCAGGCTGCAGGCAGGGCCCTCAGCAGTTCCCACATTATCTGGCTGGAGGAGGAGAATGAGGAAGAAGAGGAGAAGGAATGACCTTGGAGTGGAGCTGGCAGAGACCACACCACTGCAGGCCCTGCGGGGGCTGCCACCGCTGCTGGGGTTGTGTCATGGCCTTGCTATGGTCTTCCCTCAGCCTCAGCCAGCATGCAGAGGCCCAACGTGGGAGTGAGACCTGCACCCTGTTCCCCAGACACCCCGATATCCCCCCTCAGTTGCCCATGTCCCACCAGGGGCCATGTCCTGCTGCCATAGAAGGGCCAGACCCAGTAGTCCTGGGCAGGCTGCTCTGTGCCCACGTGGCTGTGCAGCCAGAGCCCTGTGGGCTCAGCCCATGCCCAGTGGGCTCTGCCAGCTCCCACTGTTGGCACTGGGGCTGGCAGCTGAGAGGGAGGCTGGGTGTTGGCGTTGCCAGGACCTTAAACATTCACAGCAGTACTCGGTGCTAATTAATTATCCTCTTACGTTCACTTTTATCTCTCTATCTGCAGCAGTGACGCAGCGGGGGCAGTCCCTGCCTCCCTGGCCACACAAACGTCCTCCTTGGGTTTATTTTTGTTGCTTTTTCACCTGTATGTTTTGGCATGAGTATGGAAGAGCTGCTCTATCCAGTCTGAGACTGCCAGTGGCTCTATGCCCTGCCTGGGCACCCCCTGTCACAAGCACTCTGCTGAGTGCCACCCTGGATGCCTGGCACAGCTCTCCCCAGGGTGAGTCCTTGGGGATGGAGCTTTGTGCTCAGCTTTCCCCCATGGATAACACATCCAGAGGCCTTGCTGCTCACATGACCGTGTTTCCTCCTGGGCACAGGTCTGTTCCTGCTTACATGTGTCCCCAGCTCATGCCCACCTGCTGTGTCTGTGCCAACTGCTGTGTCCGGTGCACCCGCTGACCTTGGGCTGGGGTCCTGCCTGCAGGGAGTCACTCAGCTCCTCTGGCACCAGCAGCTCAGCCCAGGCTTGAGCTCGGTTTAAGGGGTTACTCCAGTTGTGCTGTTCTGGGCTCCCTGCCCACCTGCACAGGAGTTGAGCACCATGGCAGGGCAGTATCAGCAATTGGAGCATCCCCCTCCTCTGAACACCCCTGGCACATCTGGACAGCAGCATCCTGGCTGGGCTGTGTCTGGTGCTGGCTGCACATTCCATATCATTCATCGCTTGCTCCTCTGGTCTGTACTGTCCTGCTGGCAGGGCCATGCAGGGGTAGGGTCCTTGCAGGACCCCAGCTGGACCCCAGCTTGGGTCCCTCTGCCCATCCCACTTGTGGCCAGGCCATGCTGGGCTGCACTGGTGCTAAGCAGGGACCGTGGTTGGGGTGGGGGGATCCCAGACTCCCCAGATTCAACAGCAGCCCTGCAGCTGCAGAGGCAAGACAGGGAGCTGCAGCAGGCATCCTGGCACTGTTAACAGGTGGGTGGCATGGTGGTGACATGGCTACAGCTGGGTGGAATTGGGACCCACATACTGTGCCAGCCCAAGTACTCTGCCTCAAGGTGAGTGTTCATGAGGGGGGTATCCATGGCCAAAGTGTTGGGGAACCCAACGTCTGCCTGCTCGAGCACTGGACAGGTGGCACCAGCCACAGGAATGTGTGAGTGTGCAAGGATGGGGCAGCATTGGGGCAGTGTAGTTTGACATCCCCACAGGGTGGCAGCAGTCAGGGCTGGATGTGCCCGTGTGGCACCTGGATGGTGGCACACAGAGTGCTCAGTCCCCATCACCTAGCATGGCACTGAGGTGCCCACTCCCACCAGCAAAGGATTCTTACTGCTGGGCTTTGAGTTGGGCTCAGGGAGTAAAGCCCCTGTGGGCCCCCTCAATCCACAGGGTGCCCACGCAGTAATGCCAGCTCACCAGTCACCGGCTGGTGACACATGGGGAGCTCTGAATTGCAGCCGGTGACAGCTGGGCAAGCACAACTCATTCCTCAAACAGAGATAACAGCCTTCACTGGAATCCAGCCTGGGCTTTATGTACCCAATTGCTGGACTCTGGCTCGGGGCTCTGCACCCATCACTCATCACAAGGTGGCTCTGAGGCTCTTGTCAATGTCTGGCTCTGTTGGGGTGACCCACACTGGGGTGACTTCCTCCGCCAGTGATCAGCTTCTGGAAGCACCTGTTTTGGGAGGAAGTGTTTCCATGAGCCTGTGGCACAGACAGGGGCCCCTACAGGTGTGTTCCCCACTGCTCCACGGGGCTGTAACATGTCCCCAGCCTGAGGCTGCACAGTGCCACGACCTCCTCCTGCCCTGTTTTTTAAACAGAGTGGCCTTGAGAGTAACCCTGGGGAGGTGAAGCCAGGAGCCAAGTCCAATTTCTCTGCTTAGACATCTGATTATTTGCCCATTAAGCACTAATTGCCCCCTAGCCACATGGCCAAGCCCCACACTATCCCCAGGGAACAAACAGTCCAGCAAAAAACCCAGCTCCCATGGGCACAGTGGACACTTTCCCCCCCTCCGAGCGCACCCCCTCCAGGCAGCTGTGCCTGGTGTGGGGGTCAGCCAGCACTAAAATTGCAGTTGGTGCATCCTTGCCAGTGGCAGCCGAGGTGGGGAAGGTGATGACTTCCTCGTGGAGTGGAGTGGAGTGGAGTGGAGTGGAGTGGAGTGGAGTGGAGTGGAGTGGAGTGGAGTGGAGTGGAGTGGAGTGGAGTGGAAAGTTGCCTGGGCACAGGCTGGAGATTCTTAGTAGCAGCTGCACCCTCCGGGGAGCAGTTTAATGGTGAAATATGGCCATGGAAAAGCAGGGGGTTGCATATCCCACTTGTGTGGCTTTGGGGTGATATCTTTCCTGCACCCTTGCTGGGGGAGCAGAACTGTCATGATTTCATGATTCATCCTCTGCCGGTTCTATCCTGTTTAGGACTCTCAGCTGTGTACTTGGTGCTGCCCCCATCAGTGCTGGAGTGCGCCGGGGCTGTGCCGGGTGTTGCCGTGCCCCGGGGCAGGGACAGGCAGGTGGCCCGTGCATTGCTGGTGCCGGTGTGGGCAGCGAGGGCTAGCAGGGACTGCTCGGGGTGCGTGGGCAGGTGCTGGGAGCCTGTTCCTGCTATGATTCATTGCCAGCCTGGCCCTGCTCCCAGTGCAGCCCCACAGTCCTGCTCCCTGCCTGCTGCTGCCTGCGGGAATGCTGCGGGCGTGGTGAGGGATAAGGTGAGGGGCAGAGTAGGGCAGATATGTGCCACATCCTCAGCCAGCTATGCAACCCCATCCAGCTGTGGCCCCATCCAGCTCTTCCTCCCACGCACAGTTGTGCCCAGCCTGAGTGCTGGGTGCACTGAAGGGCACCTGATTCCACAGCGCCACCACTTGTGAGGGAAAGACACTCCAAGCTGCAGCAGGACCAGCAGTGTCACCATCAAAGCTGGGACCCCATTGTGCCCCAAACAGCCTTCTGCCACAGGTGGTACTGAGTGCTGGCCCTTTGTGTCACAGTTCCTGTCTGTCTCCAGCTCTGCACATGGTTTGCCACCGTCACCTGGCCCAGGACTCAGCTTTGTGTAGGACATGGGGACCTTGCGCCTTGTGTTCCCCAGAGAGGTTCACTTCCTGGGATGAAGACCCAGCCATGATGGCACTGCCATGGCACAATGGGTTGGTGAGGCTGGACCTGGGGGACTCATGCCTGTGTCCAGGGAGTGGCGTGAGATGCCCCATGAAACTGTGAATGAGGTTTGGGGTGCAGTTCAGTGCCAGGGAGGGCTGGCTCCCACTGCTTCCTGCAGGGAATCCTGAAGGGATGGGAGCCTAAGTCACAGCACTGTCACATCCCGCTGAGGCTTTGGGGGAGTTTGTGACTTTTGATTTAACAGTCACCACACCAGCATCAGTCTGTGCTGGTTGGATTTCATCTCCCCATGCAGGGCAGGCAGCAGCAGGTGATCCTGGTGCTGCAGCACTCCCACATTGTGTCCCACAGGATGGTGGCACCCTGGGGCTGGGGACCCTTGGGGGGTATGGGCACTGCATGCATGCTCATTACTGCAACTGCCTTGTGAATGTCATGGAGTCACAGACTACCTCAAGTTGAAAGGGACCCATGAAGATCATCGAGTCCAACTCCTTGGTAATTAAGCTCGTGATTAATTCCAGGTGGTAATGGCCTTGTGGAGGCAAAGTGGGGCCTTGGGGCAGCTGTGGTGAAGCCCATTGATAGCCGGGAGCTGCAGCAGGGCAGCCTGGGGCAGCTGGGTCCCACTCCAAAAAGCTGTGAACAGACCTAGGGGTGTGTTTGACCCCTCTCTTCCTCCTGAGCTGTTTTGTCCTGTCCCCACAGCAGCATCGTGTCCCCGGAGCCTGGACTGTGCCCTGCAGCGCCGGGAGTTCTGCCCGCCAGGCTCAGGTGCCTGTGGGCCCTGCCTGCCCCCATTCCAGGAGGACGACCACGGGCGCTGTGTCCAGAGGCAGCTCTCACCCAGTGGTAGGTGCACCCACCCTCTGCCCCTCTGCCTGCACACCTACCCTGCATCTCTGCAGCTCTGGGAGGTTCTGTGCCTCAGGACAGCCCCCCCCACCCCAGCAGCACCCCATGCTCTTCCTTTTTTCCATGGCAGCTGTATCTCTGTGGGGACAGCTGCTCTTCTCCCTCTCACCCCACTCACCTCAGATGAGGGGGTGGTTTTGGGCTGGCAAGCCCATCCTGCTCTACGTGCATCCTGCTCTGGTGATTGGCCCCGTCAGCACTGTGGGGAGCCTAGGACCTCCAAGGACAGGAGTAGGACAGGCAGCTTCTGGGGATCTCCAGGATATTCACGGTGTGCCTGGCTCTTCCAGGGTTCAGGCTTTGCAGGAGCAGAAAAGCCATCTTCAGCACACAGAGCAGTGACTCATGCTGCCCATGGCCTCACCTATCCCAGGGTGCCAGTGGGATTTTAGTGCCTGATTCCCTTTGGTTTGAGATATTGGTCGGTGGTTCAGGACTGATGTTTCCTCCTTGGGTGATGCCCAGCATCCATGCTGGGAGGACTTGAGTCAGCTGTGACTGGGAGGACCACTCCCTGGCTGCACACCAGGGCACCGAGGGCCGTACTGGGTGTTATTCCTGGCTCTGTCCCCAAGGGATCTAAGGGGCTGTGGCAGCCTGGGTGCAGCAGCCTATGGTCAGCCATCCCACTGCTACTGCAGTACTTGAAGGGTGCTCCCAGTGCAGCTTTGGCACCTGTGCCCCTGGTTCAGCTGCAAATACAGTGCTGGGGGCCAGTCATAGGCATATTTTAGCCTGACAGTCAACTCTTCATGCAGCTTGGAAAGCTGTGGCAGAGTTACTTTTGTGCCCCCTTATCATGGGCTCACCTCACAGGTAAGTTAAGACCATAATTATGGCTTCACACAATTATTTATTGCTATAAAGTGGAGTGGCCTCTGTGGCTGGGGAAGAGGCCAGGACTGGCCACACCCTCAGGCTGTTCCTGCTAGGTTCTGCTGGGGACTGCCTGGATGCAAGGTACTCTGGAGCACCTCTGAGTCACCTCCTGGTGCAGAACGTATTGGTATCTCCCCCAGCCCACCCTTCTCCACCTGCTCTTCACTCCCGCTGCCCCCAAAAGTCTCCTGCTAAGGGGTTCCCAACTCCTGGGGAGCTTCTAAAAACATGCAGGATGGACAAACACTGGTCATTGAACCAGGGAAGCAGGTTCCCCTGCATCTGAACTCCATGCAGACATGGAGAGGTCCTCTGAGTTTTAGGGGATTGCTTTGTGTTGTTGAGCATGTTCAGGGTCTTGTTGGGGTGCAGTTGGTGATATCCTTCACCCATGGCTCTGCCCAGGTGGGCACATGGAGGATGTCAGAACCCAGCATGCCTTCAGTGCCATTCCTCCTAACAGGAGAATTACCCTGTAAATCAGAGGGGAGACCCCCAAAGCAAGACCCTTTGGCTGAAATGAGAGGGATGGCTGGGGGGATAAGAGGGATTGGCACAGGAATATGGTCTAGACTTGATGTTTGACAGCAGTCAGTGCCCCTGCCACGGGTTCTTCATTCACTGGCACTGAATGGGTTTAACAGTTGTTTATAGTTCATTTTTTAATGTGGAGTCTTGAGAGCAAATTCCCCTCTCGCAAGGGCTGCACATGCGCTGGCATCTCCATAGCAACCCAGCTCCTTTCTGAAGGATGTGGCCACAGTTGCATCCTTATGCAGAGAGATGCAGGACCATGGTACCATCCTCTAAGGACCCACCATTGCAAGATGGTGACACCAAAGTCTCTCCCAGTCCTATCCTGTTGTCCCAAGCAATGCTGCTAGCTTGTGGCAGCAAAAGTGTGGGACTGCGTTAAAAAAAAAAGGGGATCTCCTTCCAAATCCTTTGTTTTAGCATTCTGAGGATGGCCAGCTACTCTTGGCAGGGAGGCACCATTTATTTTTCAATGGGGGCTTTCTTTCTCATCCTGCCTGTACCTTTATCTGGTAGCAGCACTGGAGAGGGCTGTGAGGATGAAGAGGGGCTGTGATAGCTGCATTTAGGGGGAGATGCAAAGCAAACAGGGGGCTGCTGTAGCCCAAGGATGCCTTAGCCTTTGAAGGGGATACCCATGCAGCCCTTTTGCTATGTAGGCAGACCCTTTAAAGGGTTACACATCCTTGAACCACTTGTGACTGCTGGTGATGCCAATCCTGGGATCCTGCCACTGTGCCATCCCCACTGCTTCTGGCAGGAGCCAGGGATCCTCTCCCAAAAGCAGCTTTTTGAGGTGAAAAGCACCATTTGGGGTCTCAGGAGGGCATGTGAGTGTTCCTGCCATTATGTGTAGGTCTTTCGGCATACCTGGCACAGAGGTGAGATGGGATGTATGGAATCTGGGTGCACTGCATCCCACAGCTGGCTGTCTGCACCTGGCTGCTGCTGTCTTGCACAGGGCTCTGAGCTCCCCAAAATCCCATTCACTCCATGGTGCTGCATGTGTCTGTGCTGTGATGGGTTTGAGTGATGTGCTTTGAGATAGTTGGTCTTATCCTGCTTCTGCTTGACCAGCATGGAGCCCCACTGGGCTGCAGGAAGCACTTTGGGAAAAGGGGCCTCAGCTCACAGACATGGATGTTCCTCATTCCCTGCCTGCTGTGCTGCCAGCATCAAAGAGGACATCAGCCATCCTGGGCAGGACTATAGAAATTAGTGGATGTATAAGAATTTTGTGCCCTCATGTGGACACTGTCAGTTACAGGTTTCCTCAGCCCAGGGCAGAAGCCTCATGTGTCTCTTCTTGGTCCCTGTTTCCCCAAACTGTCAGGGTAGGTGTGCGTCCCAAGGTTGAGCCCTGAGGAGGTGGAAGCCCTAAGGAGAGGCCAGGGGCAGAGCAGAGGGACTGGGGGACTGTGTGCCAGCCTGGCCATGACATCCTGCTGCAGCACTGGTGGCAACTACCATGAGGGGGCACCCACACCCTACACAAGCCCTGCCTGCACCCCTGAGTGCCCCTGTGCATGGCCTGAGTGCCCTGTCCCTATCCCGTCCATGCCAGGTGTGCCCTCCCTGGACACTGTTCCTCCCCCACATCTCTGCTCCTGCTCCTGGGGCAGTCAGGCAGGAACTGGGGCTCACCTCGGCCCCCTGTTCCCTGGAGCAGCTCAGGGCCAGCATCTCACACACCCACAGTGCCTGGCAGGACCCAGCCCTCAGTGCCCTCAAATGGGTGGTGGAAACTGTGGCATCACTGGGGGAGGTTTAGCTGCCACACAGAATGGGAGGTGGGCAGCTTTTAGCCACTTGAAGACAATGTGCTGATAAAGCTGGTTAGTGCAGGTAAGTGGCACAACCCAGGCCCTGCAGCAACACCGGAACCCCAAACCACTGCCTCAGTTTCCAATGTGCCACTTGACACACCCCCACAGGGTGGGAGACTGAGGGACCTGGCAGCTGCTCTGGCTGCTTTTTCAACTTTATTTTCCTTTTTCCGGCCACATCACATCCAACACCAGCACAGCCTGGTGGTGGCACACATGGGATGGACAGGGTTGTCCCCTATGGAGACAGACTTTTCCCAGAGTGCAGAGGTGAGCTAGAGCCAAATGTCCCCATCCCAGGCATTAGGATGTCCTCTGGCACAGGGCTATCCCAATCCTGGGCACAAGGATGTCCCCCTAAGGCACAGGGCTGTCACACTGGGTCCCATGCAACTCCCTTGCCCGTTGAGAGACGTTGGCCCTGTGCTAGCACCTTGTCACCATGGCACTCACCTATTGGGCACAGCACTGGCACAGCCCCATCCTGGCGCTACTTGACCATGGCACTGCTCTGGGATGCAAATAACAGGGTGCAAAGAGCCAGGGAAACCCAGGGCTCTAGCTAAGGGTAGGAGGCTGGGGGCAGTTTGGGGACAGCAGGGCATGGAGGATGTAGGGACAGTGACTCTTGGTGCTTTTGTTTAAAGCAAGAGTGTCCCCCTTTTCAATTGTTTTTTGGCTCATGTGGTTCTGAGTCACGGGGCAGCAAGGTGGCAGTTGTGCATGGCTCCAGAGGGAATCAGGGTTTATTTCCAAACACTGGATGTGAGGACAGATTCCAGAGGAGATGTAATTCTTATGACCTTGAATTATGTGCCAGTACCACCTTGCCTTAGTATGTCTGGATTTAGGCCCAAGGGCTTCTCTGAGGGGACAGTCTGAATATGGGCAAAAGAAGCAGGGATAGGATGGGGATTGAGATGGGGACAGGGATGTCTACTGCCTTTGATGTTTGAGTTTAATCCTGTTAAAAGTAGTGGTGAGTATCAGAGCTGGACTCTGCTTGATGAGCCTGAGAAGAGCAACTCCACTCTTGCTGCAATGCTGTCACCTCAGGCCAGAGTGGGAGTCCTGCCTGTGCCTGATGCTGCAAGAGCCCCCTGAAGAGCAGATGTGTCTGGTGGACACTGTGCTGGGACATGGGCTTGGACAGCCACCTGTGAGATGCTGCTGGGGCCAGCCCCTGGGGGTACATCCCTTGCTGAATGGGGCTCCCAAAGGAGCTGCATCCCACCAGGCACTGGGCAAGAACCAACCCCTCTACTGGAGCAAGGGCTCCCATGCTCTGCTGAACAACCAAGCTGAGCTCTGCTCTGGGGTGGCTCCAGCCACTCTGCTCTATAAAGGGCCCTGATCTATTTTTGAGGTGAAAACCAGTGTTTGGGGTGTCCCCTGACTGTAACTGTGCTGAAGCTACCCCTCACCCCTGAGGCAGGAGGGCAGATGGGGAGTATCTGTCCTGGTCCAGCTCCCATCCTTCCTTCCTTGGAGCTGCTGTGTAACCCCAGGGGCAGGTGCTGCACACTGGGTGCTGGCACCCTGCCCTCTCTCACAGAGTCTGCAGGACCTGCTGCCTCTGGCATGAAGGCAGATGCTGTTGCTCCTGATCCTCCAGAATTTGTGGGGTGAAAATCGCACTGAACGCAGCAAGGATACCCGTGGGTCTCGGGGCCCAGCTTTCAGAGAGCTGCATCTGAGGGGCCTCAGACTGAACTCCACCCGTGTTTGCTGGAGCTGGGACAGAAGCTCCTTCTTGGGGGTACTGGTCTCGCCCTGGGGGTGGGCACACACCTGCACCCCACAGTGCCCATCTCACACCTGTTCTCCCATAGGACGGACCTCTGTTCCCAGCTTGGAGGCAGAAATTGATTTTCTTGCGGATGTGCTGGCCCGGCAGGAGGCTCCTCGCCACCACCCACTACAGGATGGCAGACCCAGGAGTAAGTGCTCATCCCTGTTCCTAGCAGTTCCTTGTAGCCAGACCCTGCACCCCAGGCAGGTTTGCCTTCTGGAGCTGCCTGGACACCACTCACCACTGCTCTGTCTTCTCCTGCAGCCACCCTGGTGCCCAACAGTGGCAGACAGCGTGTGGCCAGTTGGCTGAGAGATGGGCATCTGCAGCAGGGTCCCGCCAGCACCGTGGCAGCCACCACCCTCCCTACCACTGCCACTGTCCAGAAGTACCCGGTGGAGGCATCCCCCATCCCTGAAAATGACAACATGGTGCTCGGTGAGACCCTGGGACTCAGAGGAAGAGGTTTCACATCCTCACCAGGGAAGCATGGGCTGGTGTCACCATGCTGCCAGCTCACCTGCTGTCCCTTGCTGTCCTCTCCACCTGGCAGGGCTGATCGTGGTGTGCACGGTGGCCGGGATCTCCGCGCTGATCGTGGCAGCCATCTGCTGGTACAGGTGAGCTGGGGCTGCGGACAGTCCCTCAGTGACCCTGTGCCCAGGGCAGTGTATTCCCATGCTTCCCAGGCATGAGGGGTTGCAAGAGAGGCAGTAGTCCTCCCAAGGAGCAGCATCAGCTGGCTGGAGCAGGAGGACAGTAGTGAGACACCTCTGTGCCAGATGCAGGCTCCTGGGAGCAGTGGCACCTGGTGTGGGCATCACTGTGGTGCTGGGTGCTGACACTGCCAGCACGTTGGTGCCTTGTGCCCAGGCCCCATGGGATGGAGGTGGTTTTGCCTGTCATGGTTGCCATCACAGGGAACAGGGCTGACCCTCCAAGGGTCACTGGCTCCTCAATGGAGTTGTCTGCTTCTATGGCTCCCCATATCCTCTAGGATGAACTAGAGAAGTTCATTGTGCCTACAGTGGGCACTGGTGAGGCACCTCATATCCTGGGTTCAGTTTTGGGTCCCTCATGGCAGGAAAGACATTGCAGGTCAGGAGCATGTCCAGAGAAGGGAATGGAGCTGGCGAAGGGTCTGGAGCACAAGTCTTATGAGGAGCAGCTGAGTGAGCTGGGAGGGCTCAGCCTGGAGAAAGGCAGGCTCAGGGGGACAGTCATGCTCTGCACAACTCCCTGACAGGAGGGGGCAGCCAAGGGAGGGTCAGCTCTGCTCCCAGGGAACAAGGGACAGGATGAGAAGAAATGGCCTCAAGCTGTCTCAGGGGAGATTTAGGTTGGATATTAGGGAAGATTCATGTAAAGGGTGGTCGGGCATTAGGATTCAGGAAGGACTGCCCAGGGAGGTGGTGGAGTCACCATCCCTGAAAGTGTTCAAAAAACATGTGGGTGTGGCACCTGGGGATGTGGTTTCGTTGTGGGCTTCGGCAGTGCTGGGTTAATGGTTGGGCTTGATCTTAGAAAACTTTTCCAAACTTTGTGATTCCCTGATTCCAATGCCCCTTCCTGGCAGGCTGCAGAAGGAGGTCAGGCTGGCACAGAAAGCAGACTATTCAGCCCAGCGAGTAGCCAGCCCCCTGCCCTATGACAAGATCTCGGTAAGGTGCCCATATCCCTCCCTGTGAGGTGTTTGGCACACGGGCCTCAGTGCTCTGCTGGAGGTATTCCCACATGGTGGAGGCCCTCCACCAGCCAGTCTGGGGCCCTCCACAGCCCAGTCTCCACAGCTTTTCCTGCTCTCTCCACAGCCTGGGGACAAGACGCTGGCTCAGAGTGCCCAAATGTACCACTACCAGCACCAAAAGCAGCAGATGCTCTCCCTGGAGAAGTAAGCAGCCTGGTAGCAGACAACGTGTCCTGCCATTAACTGGGATGGTCCTCATCATCCCACTGGGTTTCACCGCCTCTCTACATCTTCTTCCCCCCAGGCATAAAGAGGAGCCCAAGCTGCCAGACTCAGCGTCATCTGATGAGGAGAATGAGGATGGAGACTTCACCGTGTATGAGTGCCCTGGGCTGGCTCCGGTATGTGGGTGCAGGAGAGCCAGGGGTCCCTGTGCCTGTGGGGGTGTCCAATAAGTGCCTGGGATGTGCCCTTCAGTGTGAGGAGCCTTTTCCACATGTTCTTCATCAAACTTAGAGGTGGTCCAACCTCTGCCCCTCTGTTGGCCCCATGTCCCTGGCCAGCTCCCACTGAAGCTCTCCAGTGGGCAGGAATGCATGTCCTGGCACAAGGATTTCCTTGGGAGCAGATAGTTAGAGCAGCCCTTGGCCCACCTGACCCACCATCCCTCTGGCGACGGGGGCATGGTCACCGCTCCTAGGCACCGGGGCTGGGGGGACTCGTCCTTGTGCCCTCCCAACGCCTGGAGCGCAGTCATGCGACCCCTTACAGGCAGAGGGTGTTCTTGGCTAGCAGGGGACTTTGGGGACGGGCATAACAGCCCTGGCTACAAAGAGCACAAAGGGACGAAGAGGAGCCTTTTACATGGTAATAGCTGCGGAGCGCGGCCATCAGGGCCCAGATCGAGGGTCATCAGTGGGTCTTTACAGGCCCATTAAAGGGCACTTGATCGCAGGCAGGCAGTCTGGACAGGGCATCCCATTCCTGCCAGCCGTGCTGAGGGGCCCATCCTGGGGTCCCCAGCCTGATCAAGAAACTGTTCCTGCCAGCCAGGCTGGGATTGCTGTCCTGGGGTCCCCAGCCTAACTGTGGGGTCCCATCCTACCCAAGACCTTGAGTTTTACACATCACCCCACCTCATTCCCTCCTGCCAGGGAGGCAGCACCTTTCCAGGGTGACGGAAGTCCTGGTGTTTGTCATCCATTGCAGCCCACTTGGTAGCCCACTTCCCCTCCTCCCTGCCGGTCTGGGGTTGAGAGCCAAACCCCTTGGGCTGGGGCAACTGAATTCCAACCTGCTTTCTGACCTCCCGCCTTTTCTTTCCCCCATCCCTCTCCCGCCACCGCGGCAGACCGGAGAAATGGAAGTGAGAAACCCGCTGTTTGACGACTCCTCCCTACACCCCTCCAGCCCCAAGTCGCAGCAGTAACCGCCCCGTCTCCTGCGCTCCAGCTTGCTGCAGACTGGGCCCAGTGGGGTGGCCGTGCTGGAGGAGCACCCACAGCTGGGTCGAAGGACGCTGCCAGACTGTTCGACGCCTGCCCAATAAACACCCACTAACAGCTATGGGGGGGATCGCCCCCGTTTCCAGCGTCCTTGTCCTCTTTGCTGCTGTGATCGCGTCCCTGCATTGCCGTTTGCTCACAGCTCTCGTGGGCGCAGGGGAGCGGCTGCTTTGGCATAGAAATTGGTGGGGGAAGGGGGGGGGGGGGCTGCGGCACTGTCCCCTAGCTGAAGCTACATAGCAGCTGAGAAGGAGCCAGAGCGAAGGTCAGAAAGCAGAAGAGAGCCAGGAGGGCTGGGCACGCTCATGCCTGGCATCAGGGCTGCCAGCCTGCCCAGAGCACCTCTGCCAGGGATGGAGCCTTTTCCTGGAGCAGGTGGCATCACTAAGGGCTTCAGTCCCCATTCTCCTCTGCCCCAGCCTGGGCAGCTCCTGGCAGCAGGATAGTGCTCCAGGAGCCAACAGCAGGAGCAGCTCAAGCAGGCACTGGCATCACTCCTCAGGCTGCTCCTTCAGATGCTGTCCTGTGTTCTGACCCCATTAAGAGTGCTGGGCTTCAGGACAGTCCCAGTGCTACTGTGGCCTGGGCGCCCACATCAGTCTGTGCGGGCAGAGGATGGGCTCTCTCTTACCCCAGGCCTCAGCAGGGTAAAAGCTCAGAAAAAGTGTTCAAGGTTTTGTTTTTAAGCTTATGTGCTGTGGGGGAGGAAGGAATAGGACTGGAGGGAGCTGGGGTGGCTTGAGAGGGGTAGCCAAGGCATGGGGGCTTTGCTGTGCTGCTTCAAACCCCACAGAGCCCATGCCGGGGCAGCATACCTGTGGAGCCTGACACTGTGCATTCTCTGAGCATCCCTCTGTGGCAGGTGACAGTCTCCACAGCTCCATCCCAGGCACCTCTTGGGCCCCAGACACTCCCTGCACCCCTACGTTGCCCACATCCAGCCTCACCAACATGTTCTTGCTTGGAGCCCAGTGCTGCTCCTCCAACCCTCCCAGGTACATAGGCCATGAACCCCTCCAGTGGAAGGCCCAGAACAGGGTTTGGGTTACTTTGCACAGATGTGGCTTCATGTCCAGACCCTGTTGTGGACTGTCACGGGCACAGGTCATCGGTTGTGCTCACTGGAGCCATTGCACACTCAGGCAGGCATGGGCAGGGCAGGCAGCAGTGGCAGAGATGTGCTGGTGAGTGGTGGTGGCATGGGACCGTCCCTGTCCCTGGCGGGGTGGCTGAGAGAGGCCATCACGGCACAGATTCTGTCCCCATGTCCTGCGCTCCCCCTCCCCTGGGCTGCTGCCACTCTTCCCACACCTCTCGTTGTTGTTGTATGAATTGTAGTTCTTTTAAAAAGAGATTTTATTAAACGACCATGTTTGAGACCCATGCGAGTGTGTGGTGTGGGGCCCGAGGCTTGGGGGGCTCCTCTCGACAGCAGGGTGGGACAAGGGGACAAGAAAGGAGGATGCTGTGGTCCCCAAACCTTCCCTAGGGAACAGTGAGCAGCCATTCTGCTTCTGCAGCTGGAATAGTGTTCAGATCCTTCCCAAGGGTTTTCCCAGGCACATAAAGAACCGGGGATAATTTTCTTGTCTTTCAGTATTTGCCAGGTTTCAGCAGGGAAAGGTCGGTGGGAGCCCCCGCACCCAGCCCTGCAGCACCCACCACCCACCCCCCCTCCACCCCTTGCCCCCAGGGCCCTTAGCACCTCGGGGATGACAGATAAGGGCTATCGAGTCCCCGCATTGTGTGCAGCCCAGTTCCTTTGATCACGCCAGTCCCCCCCATCAAGCTGATACCATCTCTCCAGGTTTCAGCAGCCGGAGGTGGGTGCTGACTCACCGCCAAAGCACCCACCCAGGATGCTCCTCTCATGGGAGTCTCCAGCTGCACCCCTGGGCAATGCACACCCCAAATAACCCGAGATGCCCCCAGGGCTCAGTCCTGGGAAAACCCAGCCTAGAACCCACTCCTCTCTGCCGAGGTCCCCAAATTTGTCCTTCCTTTGCTCCCATAATCCAGCAATCTCTCTTGGAGCACATCCAGACATTTTGGGAAGCTCTAGCTTAGAGTAAAATTTGACTGTTCTGCTGGGAAGACCCCCTTGCTCAAGGCATGGAGGCCACAGGAACCCTGTGTGCCCTGGGAATCCCTGTCCCTACCACACATCCGGGCATGGAAGAGTCATTTGTCCAGGACCAAGGGCCCCTGATGCAGACATCCAAGGCCTTCAGCCCCCACCTCACTTCCCACAGCTGTAACACAATAGGGTGAACTTACTGGTGTGTTCAGGCACTGTGATGGTGTGGGTGACACTCACATTATAGCCCAGGGCCTTCATAATAAGGGGACAGAACTGGACCAAAACACCCTCTGTGATTTTCCCCAGGGCTAGGTGGGAAGCACTGACTCCATACTGTCCTCCTAGGCCAGCTGCAGCCCAGCAAGCTGTGCTGACAGGGACCAGATCAGCGTTCCTCCAGGCATGGGATTTCTGGAGATGAACCCCCTGTCCAGCCCTCCTTAGATGGTCCTGGAGTGGCCCCCCTCACCACAAGACCCTGGCCCACCACATGCAGGACTGCAGCCCCCCTTCGGTGGGCACTCAGGGGTATCCAGCACAACATCCCCAATGGCCCTTCCATCACCTGCTACAGAAAAGGGTGGCCTGACCATGAATAAAACATCATCCATGCTCATCCACTCTCTTAAAATCCCAAGCAGCTGGAGCCACACCAGCACACTCAGCAAAGGAAGGATGGGCAGATGTACATCTCAACCTACTCCAGCCTGCTGCGATCTCAGTGAGCCAGTAAAGCAGACGCATTTCTTTCTGCTCTCATTTTCTTAGTGGGATCCCACTGATCCCTGGCTGCCTTAGACAGAGCCAGGCCAAGCCTGGAACACTAGCAGGTTCCAGATATGGGCTAATGGAAGGATGCATCTATCAATCTCCTCTGGAGCAGGCAGAAGAGATGTGGTCAGTGGTGCTCGAAGACTCTACACAATAACTTCACACAGCCCCCCCCCCTCCAAATCACCCAAAATCATTGAAATGTATGGGGGGGACACACACACTGAGAAACCCCACTGACTCCTTCCACATCCCCCAGCTAAAACCATCACTGCCACAATGGGCCCCCCGTGCCTACAAAGGGGCCGGTTCAAAGTCAACGTCTCCCTTCCCCTCCGTCTGTATATGAAAGGACAAGGAATGCGTTTGAGGGCCGGGGGGGGGGGGGGGGGGGTGTGGAGGGGGGGGGGAAGGGGGGGGGTGGGGATGGGGGGGGAGGGGGGCCTGGGAGGCTTCCCGGGGGATGGAGAGAAAAAGTAGGTTGGCAGGAGGAGGGGTCCAGCCCGGGAACAATAAATCAAAGGGAAGGGGAGTTACTGCCTAGCCAAGGAGCTTCTGAAACCCTGGGCCGCAGCAGGAGCTCGGGAGGAGCAGGGCTGATGGCTGCCATCGGGGTCCCGCAGAGAGATTTCCTCTGCCCGCTGGCAGTGGGGCAGGCAGCAGCATAACAGGCAGTGGACAGGTCTGCCCGCACAGCACTGGGTTCAGCCTCCTCTGCAGCACGGTAAAGTTAGTCCCTTGGCAGATTGAATCCAGCCCCTGCTGGGGAAGGTGCTTCACCATTCTGGGCATGGGACCCCCGAGGTCCAGAAGCCACAGGGCTTACTCAGGGCTGCCCATGTCCGCACTAACAGGGTTTTGGATCCTCAGTTCATTTTCCTGGGGCTGCCCTCCCTCCTGGAGCAGTCTGGCATAGCCTGGATGGGCAGCCTGGTACATGTCCTGCCAGGCATCAGGAACAGACTTTAATTTCAGCTCATCCATCGGGCCATTTTTTTTCCTAAGAGGAATATCATCAGGAAGCTTAGTTGTTCCACTTCCCCTGACATGCAGCAGTGCCATGTGCTGGGCCAGGGACTGCTGCTGGCATTGTGGATACCAGTCCCTAGATGCCAGTCCCTGGATGCCAGCTGTGGGTATGTGTCTTTGTCTGCCAGCCCTTGGGTGCCTGTCCTAGGGCATCGCTCCCCGGGTGCCAGTCCCCGGGTTCCAGCCGCCTCAGCAGCCAAAGCAACTGCTTCATGAACAGCATTAAGCACCTTCCCTGAGTTCCCCCGCCCACAGCCCCATTCCCATCCCGTCGCGGGGGAGGCTGCTCCAGCCTATCTCCTGGCCATATCTTCAGTGCGAGACGGCTGCAGCTCCCGGTAATCCGGGTTAATAAACAGGCAGCAGTGTCGGCAGCGGGATAACTCCCTGCCTTGCTCCGGCTGGGATCACGGGGTGCTGGCAGAAAAAGCACTCCTCGCGTTGCTCCAGCTGAAGTCAGGGGGTGCCCACCCATGCTGTTGGTACCCGCCAGTATGCAGGAAGTGGCATCGGGCAGAGCCAAGCAGAGGCTGATGCCATGGCAGTGTTAAGATGGGGAAGCTGAGCCAGGAGGGAAGGAAAGAGGAAATGACTGGAGCCGAGCCAGCCCTGGTGAAGGCCCATTGTGAAGGGCAGTGTGAAGGGAAAGTCTTTAAGACAGAAAATATGGAGCGTGCTTTAATGTGGAGCCAATGGACACAATAGTTGGGGCTACAATTCCTTCCCCGGCAGCACACTTTGAGCTCTGAGGTCCCAGGGACAGACATGCTTCTGCAAGCCACAACCCTTCTCTGCAGAGTGAGAAAGAGGAGAGGAATGGTGAGACTGTAAGGGGCCTCGAGAGCCTCAGCTCTGTCCATGCTCCCCAAGAAGCTAAGGCTCAGTAAAGAAGATCAGGCATTAAGAGGGGCAAGAGGTGATGGTCAAGCCCTGGACCACCCCTGCTGCTGCACGATGACACTGGCACCTCGCGGCTTGTCCTCTGTACTGGGGACAAGTGGCTGCCACAGCTGGATGGGCTGCCCTCACACCAGCCCCTGGCTCCGGTTCATGCCTCCAATATCTCCCCAAAGCCATCCAGTTTCTTGTCTAGACTCCGCAGCGCTGGGGGTTGCCAGGTGTGAAGACCCGTGGCTGCTGCTGTCCTAACACGGGCGCGGTGCCCTCCGAACAGCGTGGGG